CGAAGAATTGCTCACAGTTTCGCTTCATAGCCGTGGACATTGAAACAGCCACCTACTTACAACATTTACCGCATCAACATGTAGTCCAGCCAACAAGTTCAAGTGGGGATCCCAATACATCAGCCTAAGCAGCCCATGATGGGTGCCGATACATGGCAGTGGAGCGCAAGTGGGTCTCATTGTACGCATGTCTCATGGTGATTGCACGTGCGAATCCTGACGCATGCCAGTCGTTGAAGCCAACTCCACAAAGTCTCAAACGCCTGTTTAAACAGCAAATTCCCTTTTCTGAATGCCACTACCAACTTTGTCATTGTCCGTCAGTAGATTGGTAACCATCAGGCACTCCAGCCTGCTGGTCTCTGCCACGTCGGGAAACTCTATCCGTGGCACCTGGATGCTTGCTGCTTGCTCTCTCTCTCTCTCTCTCTTTTTCTCGCTCTATCTTTTCTTGAAGCAGACCAAATCCATCTAAGCGGTTGCCTTCACCAAAAGTAAGTAAGTACGTAAGTGTGTGTGTGTGTGCAGAGGCTTCTTGGCCAAACCCATCGACACATGAGCTTCAATTTCAAGAGTGCAAACATGACGTGGGCAATGACATTCCCAGCCAAGGCCATAGCTATAGTATGGAGATTGCTTACGGGTTTCGTGGCACAATCACAAGCAGAACAAGCTCCACGCCCTCATGCAAACAACAATTGATGTTTGAAGCTTGTGTGACAAGACTATCTAAACGCAATCCACAAACAGAGAGAGCAGCAAGGCAAAATCTGCCACAAGGGATATAAACAATCAACATGACAGCGAGATCGGTGACAAGGCTTTACAACACACAACACTGACAATGAGGATGCTGACAACGCAGCTGTCATCAAATCATACACGCATCGGTTGTGGCACAGGGCCCAACACAGTCCACATGCTGTGGCACCAGTGGCAAGCTTTCGTACTTGGTCACACCTCTTTCAGCGGCATGGCGAAGCCATGGGGCAAAACACCTATCCTCGCTTTGTTGTTGCGGTCCTTCATGTGTTCTTCCAGGGTTCGGTCGCCTGCTCAATTGCTTCTGTGCTGTGGCTTGGTGAGTTGACACTATCTACACTGCTTCTTGTTCAAGGCAGCTTGGTTCATGAGCCTAGCGCAACTCGGGGCGAACATGTTGCCTTGGACATGCCGCGAGCGATGGCTTTGTGGCACCCGACATCTGCTGCATTGTCTCTACTAGGAGCCAGAAGCAGCACATGGGCATGTTTGCCGAAGGCGGCCGCGCCATGCAGAGAAGTCAAAGCCTTGGCAATACATTATGCAAGAAAGAAGCTCATATTCACATCATTGGAAACTCGAAGCAGGACAAGTTCAAGCTAGCGAAGCTAGCGACCTCCCTTTCCGGATCTTGCTTACAGGGAAGAACGGGACTCCATCGCCTCACACAGAGTAAAAAGTGTGCACACCGCATCCGCAAGTACGGCATAGGGGAAGGATTGCCTCGGGATGCAATACGTTTGGCCAACGGGACATACACGGCTCAGCTGTGTGAGAAGCTTCTCGGCTCCACCCAAGTGGTACACGCGAACCTTGATTGGAAAGCAGCAAAACCAGAGCGAAGCCCTCAACATGTGCTAGGAAGGTGTGAAGGCTTGAGAAAACCGTGGTTACCCTGGAGGACCCATTCAACATTTTGAAAGCAGCTCAGCCCAGAAAGCAACACGACCCCCAACAAGTCCCCCGCATCTTTGATTCGGAGCCCCCGGGCTGCCTCAGCATTCAAGCCACATATCACACACGGCCAAGCAGCAGGACATTTGTTGATCTTGGGCTTTGCTCAAACGTTCCCAACCAAGTAGAAGGTGGGCCCTGTGTACCTCAAAGAGCTTGATCCATTCTGCAGCGATGCTCGGCGAGTCCTTTTCTTGCGTAGCATCACTCAGATCCTGAGGATCTCACCACTCTCCTGGCACAACTCACTGCCGTTAACGAGTGCCCAAAGGCTCTCCTTATGCGGCTTGGTGTGTCTCCAAGTACGTATTCCGCGCTTAGTTGGGTCACAATGCATGTGCATCGTCTCAGACTTCAAGGCAAATGAGGAAGCTGATATCAACACGCCAACACAACAGGCTAGCGCTTCCCCTGGCCAACACAGTTTCATGATGTGATATCAGAGGCGTGCTCACGGCACGCCTCACCACATGCCACTCACGCATTCCGGTACAACAACCAAATGCATCTGGCACAATCCGGCCCCATCTCTGGGTGTGCTTGAATGCCTTTCCAGGACTCCCTGAAAGGCTGGGTGCACTGCAGCAGCGCAAACAATGCATGATTCATCTAAAATACCAACAAATCACAACACTTGGAACTGATTCCCTCTAGTATTCCAACTTGGTGCACATGCCATGTAAGACCTTATTTGTTGATGGGGAAGTGTGCAAATATGGCCTTGTTTATTCACCTTTCAATGACAAGCTTGAGATCTGGGTGGGTCAAAATGCGGCATTCATAATTCTGATGGGTAATCCCACAGTGGGACACCACTACAACAAGGGAAACCTCTACGGCCTGGGCATTAAGGGGTGTTGTTGAACAGCCTGGGTACTTTTCGAAGGAACTAGCTACGGGAAATCAAACAGGAAATCCTTGTTCTTTGGTGGGTATTCGGAAAATTTCCTCTAAAATTCTGTAGCTGGTTTCTATGAGCTTTACATCCAGCAGAACACGGCACCAATCCGACCCAATTCCTTCGCTTGACTCTTCGCCGATGAACGACGGCTTTGGCCTGGCACAGGGATTCCTCCGGCTACAGGCCCGGACAAATGGATGTGCAACTTGCTAGCGGTTGCCAGTCAACAAACATATGTATATATATATATATATATATGGTCAGAAATAACAAAGACGGATCAATTGTTGTCTCCAGCCATTGACTTCAAAGTGTCCTTATTTAACTTCTCGCAGAAGTGAATCCTGGTTTCCATCCCCCAAACATGAGGCGGAAACGATAAAACAAGCAATATCATCCCATCAATCGGCAAAACGTCAATCGCCCAGAAAGCAAACACGTAAACTCCAAAACCTACTTTTGCAGATCCGCCGGTTGAGTACTGGCGCCAGTCCGTTTCGTCTACTCGTCTGCTGCCTAGGGCTCCAGGGGCTTCAGGCAACCCATTCAAACCATCGCTGCAAAAACCCACCCGCAACAAAAGGTCCAGGGATCCTTGGGCTTATTACACATTGAAGTGAGCTCAGATCATGATTGTGCACACATCAGCCCCCCATGTGGTAGGTTGAAGACATGGCCAGCCCAACCAGTCGTTGCAATTGCACGCCTCCGCCTTTGGTGCGGACGAGCTTGGGGCCGCGTCTGCATCTGAGGCATGCTGTTTGCGCGCAAGTATGACACATGGAATGCGATGGCAAAGCTCCGTCTTGTTTATCGCCATTACCACTGCGAGTTCTGAATCATGCAAACGGCAGCAGTCTGCGAGTCTGCGAATCAAACAAACGGCAGCAGCCATCTTCTTCTGCGAGCGGTCCGCTCAGCATTCGGCAGGCGTGTGTGTGCAGTGCTGAGTGGGTGTGCTTGAACAGTTGTGCTTACCATGTGCAGTTCTGAGTGGGTGCACTTGAGCGAATGTGCTAACCAGTTGGCTGCGCGGGTGTGCTTTCTTTCCATTTGGCAGGCGTGTGTGCGGTGCTGAGAGGGTGCACCGCAGCATTCCTCGCAACTGCCCAAAAGGCCCGATCTTGATGATATGGGGAAAAACTCGACTCCTCGCGGGGTTGACACCAAAAGCAACTACGTAGCTTACTCATTGCTAGATGGAGTGTCAGGAAGAAATCGTGTCTTGCCCATTGCGGCCAACAAAAACGCCAAGGAATTCCCACTAGATCAAACATGCTGCAGCCATCTGCCTCCAGACTTTCTTCAGCACTGCTACCCTTTCCTGTCTAGTGACGTGTCGCGACGTTGCATGATGTGCGGATTCAGCGCTCAGTTGGGAACCCATTGCCGAAAAAGGTCAAGGTAAATGTTCACAGCACTATCTGACATTATGTTTATTAGTCTTGTTCCTTTGTGTAATGACCTGAGGTGTGCTTGATGTTTGCTTGGCCGATTTGTGGTTTGCGAAATGCACCTGTGTGTTCAATCAATTCGGTGGGACATCCATGGTCGAGAAGCGCATTCTCAGCTATATAGATCTGCCCATTTAACACATGAAGTCTACAATCATGATATGACTCATAACAAATTACCACCCAGCTACCCATCCACGCATGCATGCATCCAATACATGCACCCGCGCACCCATTCACGCAGGCACACAGGTGATAGTTTCCTTTGGCGCGAGTATTGTTGATTTCGTTGGGGGCCCTATCGGTGTTTGGCAGAGTTAGTGCTGGATAGAAAAGTTGAGCAACATCATTGCTTCCCTTGCGCTAGCAGCTAGCAGTCGGCGCTGGCAGAAAAGTAGGCTTGCACGCGGCACATGGGACATCGGCTCATGGCTGGAACTATAACGAGGGAGTATCGTTCGGGGAATCGCTCGGGGTATCATTCGGATACTGCTTCTGGCCCCCTTTCAACAAGCGTTCATCATCCCTGGACGGGTATCGTTTTTTTTGGGGCCCCTATCATTTTGCAGGAGTTTCGCGCGCTCTTGCCAAACGTGGGGCAAGGAAACACAACATCTTGTCTCACAGGATGTATGTATATATATATATATGTATTGTGCAACCATGCTTGTCCGAAAATGACTCACACTTGGCCATTTTGGCACGTCATGCTGCATCAAGCACATAAAACCATTATGTTTCCAACTTCTGCCATGCAGATCTGTTTGGGTCAACCGACGCCCGACTCAATCCGAAATCACGGACCTTGAACTTCTTGTTGCGCTGTACAATCACTTGGTTTCATGCACCGGTTTCTGCTGGGCGTGAATGAGCACTGTACAGGTCTATACTGCAAAACGCCCGTCTTAAAAGGGCTGTACGGGTTGCTCGCACACCTGTTCCGCTTGGGGTACAAAGCTCTACGAATTAGTCAACCTCCTCGACAGTTGGGCCACTTCCCGGGGCACTCCTGCCACCCATGCCACCCGGCATGCCGCCCATGCCACCCGGCATGCCGCCCGTGCCACCCGGCATGCCGCTGCCGCCCGCAGCTTGGTAGACCTTCATCATGATAGGATGCACAACACTCTCCAATTCCTTCTGCTTCGCCTCGAATTCATCCTTCTCAGCCAACTGGTTCTTGTCCAGCCAGTCCAGGGTCTCTTGCACGGCTTTCTCGATCTTGCTTTTGTCGGCACTTTCAAACTTCTCCTTCAGCTTCTCCTCATTCAAGGAGTTGCGCACGGAAAAGCAGTAGTTCTCCAGGCCGTTCTTCGCCTCAACCTTCTGCTTGTTGGCCTGCAGGTGAACAAAGTAATTGGTACTCCAAACTGGCACTTACAAATAATTACACAAAGGAGAAAGTAGATGGCACGCTTCCCTTTATGTGGGCAAGTAGAGGGAATGAGCAAACCAAAGTTAACTCGACGGATTCCATTTCTTTTCACCAAATGCAAGTCAGCCCGTGCGTAGTACACAACATACAGCCCCACACGGCAGCTCGGCCTCGTCCTCGGTGCGGAACCTCTCTGCCTCCTGCACCATGCGGTCGATCTCTCTCTGCGACAAGCGGCCCTTCTCGTTGGTGATGGTGATGTGGTTGGACTTTCCAGTGGACTTGTCAGAGGCGCTGACGTGCAAGATTCCATTGGCGTCGATGTCATAGGTGACATCAATCTGGGGCACACCCCTTGGAGCTGGAGGAATGCCATCCAAATGGAACTTGCCCAGCAGGTTGTTGTCCTTGGTCATGGCTCGCTCACCCTCGAAAACCTGGATCAAAACACCTGGCTGGTTGTCGGCATAGGTCGTGAAGGTCTGAGACTTCTTCGTTGGAATAGTTGTATTTCTTTCAATCAGCTTGGTCATCACACCTCCTGCGGTTTCCAAGCCCATTGAGAGCGGTGTCACATCCAGAAGCAAAAGATCTTGCACCTGGGATGAGCCCTCGCCGCTAAGGATAGCAGCCTGTACTGCCGCACCATATGCCACGGCCTCGTCCGGGTTGATGGATTTGTTCGGCTCCTTGCCGTTGAAGAATTCCTGGATCATCGACTGCACTTTGGGGATGCGCGTGGAGCCGCCAACCAGCACCACGTCATGCACACTCTTCTTGTCGATGCCTGAGTCCTTGAGGCACTTCTCCACAGGAGCTATGGAGTTGCGGAAGTAGTCCATGCAGAGTTCCTCAAAGCGAGCCCGAGACAAAGTAGTGCAGTAGTCAACGCCCTCAAAAAGGGAATCAATCTCGATGGTGGCCTGCGTGGAGGAAGAAAGTGTCCTCTTGGCACGTTCGCACTGAGTGCGCAATCGGCGAATTGCTCGTTGGTTGCCTGCCAAGTGCTTTCCACGATTCTTTCGCTTGAAGTCTTGCATGCAGAAGTCCACAACGCGGTTGTCAAAGTCTTCGCCGCCAAGGTGAGTATCTCCTGCAGTGGCCTTGACCTCGAAAATGCCATGCTCGATGGTCAGCAACGACACATCAAAAGTGCCCCCACCCAAGTCGTAGATCAGCACGTTCCTCTCGCCGCTGCCCTTCTTATCCAAACCATACGCGATGGCCGCAGCGGTTGGCTCGTTGATGATGCGCAGCACATTCATGCCGGAGATCGTACCAGCATCCTTTGTGGCTTGTCGCTGCGAGTCGTTGAAGTAGGCTGGCACCTGGGTCCAACTCTGGGGTGCACACAAAGTGTTGCCAAATTATGGTCCATATTTAGACTACCATGACTACTATAAAAATCCGCCGACGCCAGTCGAGCGTCTAGATGGCAGTCCGCAACTTGGTCTTCCTTCGGAATCTCTTATCAAAGCCGAAGGCTTTTGGGACTGCTATTTTTTGGGCATGCTGTGCTAGGTGTCCAAAACCTGTATGTTTCCGGTGTTTTTGTCTTTCGTGCTAAAAATCTGCGTTTTGCCTTGGTCTCTAGGGGGGGGGGGGGGGGGGGGGGGGGGGGGTTCCCTCGGACGCGCAGGATCTGCATCCCCAGCATCATCAAAAATTATCTAGTTGCCATGAATTTGTCTCTTTTTTGCCGACTGTTTTGCTGTTTCAAACGATGTTGGAATTGGCCTGCTACGGGTTTGGGTGGGGCCAAGTGCAGTGATACTTTGAGGAACTGTTTGAATTTGCAAGAAAACATGTTTTTTGCAATTCCCCACCTGTACGGAGCAGTTACTGCGAAACATCCCTGCGTTATCGTGCTGTTGGATGTTTATTTTTAGGGTATTTGAGGGGGGTTGCTAGTATCGGTTTTTGATGGTTTCTTTTGAGAAATATCGACAAACCCTAGTTGGTTGCACTTTTTTGCGGCCGGCTACCCAGCATTCCGCACATCTCTGGCATTTCATGCGTTTGGTCAATGTTGCGTGTCTGGAAGTCTTAAAATCATGAGCGCGAAGATTGGGTCTGTTCCTGTGAGTTGTATGGTTGCGTCCCTTGCATTTCCAGCAAAAACAGGAAAGTGCCAAGAAGGCCTTGTTGTACTTACAAAAAATTGTTCTTTGAATGCCCTTTCGGGGGGGGTGTTTAACGAGTAGACCCTAGTGTTCTTCTCCTGTCACGTGTTCAGCCCTGCGGCCGAAGTCAGAGCGGCGTTGTTTGTATTCTCGTATTCTCGTTAAGAGCCCCATGTCACCGAGGCAAAAAAACATCTGTTCCTTACCCTAAATTTCAGGCACCCTCTCCTTCCACGTGTTAAGAGCCCCATGTGATGTAGGCCAAAAAACGTCTTTTTCCTTACCCCAAATTCAAGGCACCTCAGAGGCGCGTTGATTGTTCTCCTTCCACGGGGGCGTTGCTTGTTCTCCTTCCAGGCGTCAAGAGACCCATGTGACCTAGGCAAAAAGATGTCTTGTTCCTGACCCCAAACTTGAGGTACCCTGCAGCCGACGTCAGAGGGGCGTCGTTTGGTCTCTTTTCAATTGTTAAGAGCCCCATATGACCTAGGCAAAAAGACGTCTTTTTCCCTGCCCCAAATTCGAGGCACCCTGCAGCCGACGTCAGAGGGGCGCTGTTTGTGTTCTCCTTCCACGCGTTAAGAGCCCCATTTGACCTAAGCAAAAAAAACGTCTTTTTCCTTACCCCAAATTCGAAGCACTCTGCAGCCGAAGTCAGAGGGGCGTTGTTTGTTCTCCCTCAACACGTTAAGAGCCCGATGTGACCTAGGCAAAAGGATGTCTTTTTCCCTACCCCAAATTCAAGGCACCCTGCAGCCGACGTCAGAGGGGCGTTTTTTGTTCTGCTTCCAAGCGTTAAGAGCCCCACGTGACATCAGCCCCAGTTTATTAGCAGGGGACTGTCCACTGGCGTCGGCGGATCGCGTAGCGATTTCAATATGTCATGATTTGAAGAAAACCCAAGGCACCGTGACTACTGCGTCATTCACTTTCGTGCCCAAGTAGGCCTCGGCAGTCTCCTTCATCTTCAACAGCACCATGGAGGAGATCTCTTCCTCATTTCAACATAAGCAGAAACACTGCATGACAGTGTTTGTCTGAACAGTTTCAGGTGGGATTGAAACCGAAACCAACAGGAACCAACGTGGTGCCCCAGACCAACAGTAAGAATACATATATATATATACAACAGGTCAAAAGGTTGGCAAAGGGCAACTCAGCTTCTGCGTGAAAGCGCTTTTCAACTCCTGCGGCTGTCACGATGATGATGGGTTTGCTGTCTGGACCGGCGATGCACTTGAACGGCCACAATTTGATGTCCGCCTGAACCACGGGGTCAGTGAACTTGCGGCCAATCAGTCTCTTGGCATCGAAAACCGTGTTCTCTGGATTCCGGGCAACCTGATTTTTAGCTGCGTCCCCGATCAAACGCTCGGTGTCTGTGAAGGCCACATAGGATGGAGTGGTGCGGTTGCCCTGGTCATTCGCAATGATCTCCACTCCGTCATTTTTCCAAACACCCACGCACGAGTACCTCAAGACCGAAACACACAAGTATCGCATGACTTTCTGAAATGTTCAAGGTACAACTGCGTGCGTTTGTTGAGTTCAACCACGCAACCTAAAGCGCCGAGCATTTCAACTAATCAGCACAACTGGTACATTATGCCATCTAGGAACGTTGTGCCAAGGTCGATGCCGATGGCTGTCTTCTTGGCCATTGTGAGTTGAAGGGCTTCGAAGGTCACTTTACAATGGCAAGACAAATAACTTGAGCCGACGATCAATCTTCTCAGTCTTAATGCAAACCGTCACATGACAAGCTCCAGAAACCATCGACCGCAATGTCTGCTCTGTTCTGCCAAGGCTCCCCATTCAAAGGGTACAGAAAGAGTCGCAAAGACACTGCTTGGATCAAGGACGAGGGTTAACATGACGGATATGAACCGACGAGTTGCTTATTATTGTTTTTTTAGTTTTACGAGGGGAATCTCAAATTGCTCTTCGTCAACCCCTCCTCATCATTATCAATAGCTGAGGCCGCGTCTTGTTGCCCCCACGGCTACCTCCCAGTGCGCAAGGGCTTAAGCTACGTGGACATACTAATGGAATTATTCTACGCAAGCACCAATGTCACAAAACGCAGCGGTGAATATGCTGCGAATAGCAGCGTTGGATATTCTCAGGCCTCTCCACTCGCGTCCCCAAAACACAACTCCCAAATATCAAGCTCTCCACTTGACTCAGTGTTGCTTGGTGCTGTTCTCACGTTTTTCTTTGCAAAATCGAAAACCCTTCAGCTCTCCTTGGCCCTTTCGTTACACCCAGAACAGTTGTGCTGATGTACTGGGCAAGTCTTGACTTCTGGCCGAGTCAGGATTCGGTTTGGTGTCAACTCACTGCTGGCAAAGTACTGCTTGGGTACTCATTACGACCATGTAGTACTTCGATTTCGGTTCGCTTGAGTTGCCGCATATCGATCAAATAGAAATGACCTGTCGTACAGTGCATTGCTTTCCTTGTAACATTCATTTGCATCAGCGGCTGATGCATGACAGTATCTTTTTCAGCAGCACAGCGTAGTACGGTTGGTTGAATAATTCCTGGTATTGGCTATGTGCTGCTTGATTATTGGTTGTTGGTTCAGCGTCGGATCGTGGCCAAAACCTGAACAGCTCTAAGTAGCACTATGGCCTGCCAAGCAATCATTTACTCTCAAGAGAGTGTGTGTGTGTGTGTGTCAGGGGAGTTGACTTGCATAGGCCTTGCACACATGACAGCACAGCTGAGACACCCACATTCAACATTGCAATAACATAGACATATGTTTTATGATATGCAACCAAAAGCTGAATGTTGAATGAATGAACGAACAAACAAACAAACAAAATGATGAATGAAAAACAAACGAACGAACAAACAAACACATGAAAGAACACGGGTATACGCCTGGCAACTTGTGCCTATAGTTTGCAGCAGTGCTCGTGTACCAAGGCTAAACAACACTTGTGATTTGCATGCATTCTTTGGGTTGACTCGCAATTCGTCATGGCCTGATTATGGAGAACTGCCACCGTGGTGACGAACGTGGAATTCGCTACAATACGAATTGATTCCTTCCTTCCTTCCTTCCTTCCTTCCTTCCTTCCTTCCTTCCTTCCTTCCTTCCTGCTTGCATGCAGTCATGCAATTTCCTCCTGCTGTTGACATTGAATGCCATCTGATCTGAATACGTGTTTTGTGTAAGCTCTCGCACAACCCGAGAACAGTTGCCAGATTTTGTAGCGCGCGTGAAGCAAGACCTACCTGTTGTCTAGCCTGATAAGAACTCTAGCCCACTCTGGCCGTGCATCTCATTCTGATTCACAAATGCCCACGAAAGACCACATGCCCCTGATCAAACCCCCCACCCCCAATAGCCCCCTAACCAACCCCCTAACCGAGCCCCACCTCCCCTCAAAAAAAAAACACGAAAAGAGAAAACGACAAAAACAAAAATCCTCATGGAGTCCATCATACCCGCCCCAGATCTCTATACCCTCCCTGTCGCTCGCCTGCGTCTCCGAGTCAGCGGCCGGCTCGGGGCTTTTGGCCTTGAAGACATAGTCAAGTGGGTATGTGTCAAAATAGGGGGCCCAACATTGGTGGTTGTCCCTTGGGTTCCCTTTAAGCCAAGCTCACAAAGGGTACCTTCAAAAAAATACAGTGGCCAGCAAGCAGCAGTCACAGGATGCCAAAGGATTTTACAGCTTCGTCAGATCAAAGAATAACACGGGTAAGGTTCCACTGCCCCACATGGCGTGCAGCAATTGTTCGCTGGCCCCTGTATCACCTCATGTTCCACCCCGCTCCAATGCAAAGGCCTTAATGTTGTTTCCAGAACAAAATCAAATCAGAGGGGACATTTCGTCTCATGCATAAGCAATTCAAGACCAAACGCCCTGCGGAATAAACTAACAAGTCACAGGCAGTGTTGAAGCAGTCACAACATGTGCGATTCCTTCCAGGTAAACGCGACCCACGTGCCAAATTCCATAAACTACACAGCAATGGACATGTCTGTACTGACGCCTAGGATTGTCCCCGGAACAAAGTTACGCACTATGACAAAGTGGTATTCAGAAAGCATTGCACCCACGCAAAGCATCTCAAAGCTTGAAAAGCTTGAAGCATCCTAGCTCAACGATGCCCGTTGTCCCTCTCACCACCCGCAGTTTTAGCTTGGCTGTGTTTCCATGCGCCCAGTGACATCCGACCCAAAACACCTCGAGCCAAGGCAAAGAATGAGCAAACCAGAAACTGGGAGTGAGCAGAATACACACATACCCAGGAGCAAAACAACAACAAATGGTAAGTGCTGATTGACTGTGAGCGCCTCCAGGGGGGGGGGCATGTGTTTCGGCGCTCGCACCTGGGCCACCGAAATGCGCAAAACCAATGCACTCACGTCTGATTGGTCAGAAGTCCGAGTTTTGGTTTTCCACTAAAATGGTTTCCCAAAAAAGTATGAAGTGCCGCAACTCAGGAAGTGAGCGCAGCTTCATTCACTTTGTCCAGAATTCTGTGCCACGCGAACGCACGATTGATTATTTGTGGTGATGATGGCCTGCCAGCCAAGCAATGGACATTTAGTGACTTCCTGTTGTGGATCACGCTGCTGTATTGACATTCTGTGCTGCCAATCAAAGCACACCCAAGGTTGAAGCATGAACTGACAGGACCTTAAAAGGTTTTGCAAGCCTGGACAAAACGATTATGATTCAAAGAAACTTGCCTGAAGCAGCGCACACATGCTGCTGATCTTTGCTCTGGCACAATTGAAGTCACTCGGTACAGCACACGTCTTTCTTGAAGCACTCGTTGATAAGCCGTTGCCACCAGTCAAGATACTTAAAAGCATCCCAAACCATAGAAACTCTGCCATGTGCAACATTTGGTATTGTGTAATGTGAGAAGGGCATCGCATGTTTGTCACCCCACAGCCGTGCCTGCAATCCGGGTGTGATAGTTCGGTGATGCGAGTTTTCGCGTCAACATGTGTTGGATACCCCCTCTTCCAAAAGTTGGATGCCCTGGTAATTGCGCTCGGCAGTGCGCAAACGAGCCTTCCATATGATATATAATCCGCACACATTTCACACATTGGCGCAATTTACACATGCTACAACTCCGACAAAGACGTAAAATTGTCATCACCACCCTGTTCAACCGGGGACCAAACACCGTGCAAATTTGCGAGCTGCACTGTAAGCTCAAGGATTTTCCAAGCGAGGCACCCGCTCCGCGCCGCCGGCACGCTCCGGGCGACTTGCCAAGCCAGTGCGGTCCAGCTCGAGCTCCACGACGTGGGGCGAGGCACCTAAGATAAAAGCAAGCACTTTGGCGCTTTGCCTCTGGATTGGGAAAACCATTGACATGTTGAAATCGTTGTTCAAGCAGCCTCCTTGAAAACGGCCCTGGGTGTGATTGTTCAGATTGCTGCAACTCTTGCTGGGGAGGATAGTTTAGGGCCTAGCTACTCCACGTGATTTAGAACGCAAGGAGAGCCCCTGCAAGGGAAGGGCTGCAGCAAAGGCATCTCGCGAACGGTGCTACTTCAACAAGCAAAATCATACACAGCGCTGCGCAAGTTCTGCACGCAGTGATGGGGCATTCCTACCATAGTGCAGTCAGTTACATTGACAGGATACCTATGCCGAGTGCAGACCTGGGCAGCACACCCTGCAACTCAGCATCTTCGAAAAAGATGTTGGTGCTGTGTGGCCTGGCACGTTCGATGGACACAGCAGGGTGCCACCAAGTGGCGTGCGGCGAATTTGGAACCAGCTGCATGGACTGCAAGACTCCATGCTACGGTGTCAAGTAATCTTGAACATATTGAGAATGACATGTGTTTGGGTGAGGAAAATACTGACCTGTCATAGAATCAAACTGGGTCTCTCAAGGGTATCATGACCACTAGGAATCTCGATTGCACGAACCAATTCAAACTCGCAATCCAAAGTGGATTTCTGCCAAATGCAACACGGTTGGAAAAACGAATGGGTTCACTTGGGGACTACCGGAGTCCGCTTTCAGCGCCAGCCTCTGGTGCTGGCCCTTAAAGCGCCAGGCGCCGTCTACCACGATGACGGGCTTGCCCCCCTCGAAGCCCTCTGGCGACGGATGGACAGTTTTTTGTTGACCCAATAGATTCATCACACTAGTAACTCTAGGCGGGGTTGCTTTGGTGTTTTCTGGCTCGGATACTCTTTTTTTTGCGCGCTCAGAGTGGGACATCTTCAGCTGTACTCTCCCCTTCTCTCCAGAGACAGTGCCGAAAACAGCTCAAGACCCTGGCAATTTGAGCTGGAAAATAGCGGTGGATGAAGAGAAGGGGGAATACAGCTGAAACATTCCCTCTCAAGGAAGGTCTGCAACAAGCCCCTGCAACTAAATCCTGAAAAGCCATCAGAGAAAACTGCCTCAGCCTCTCACATACAACCTGAACCAGGTGTGTCGAAATCCTTGAGGGCATTCTCTCGCTTTTCCTGAGGTGGCTACTGATCCACAGCAATCCGCGGAGGAATTTTAACCCCCAACACGTGTACATGAGTCAACGATCACTTGTTCTCTTAGAAACAAACCTGCTTGACACTCCTTGATATAGTTGTCCTTCCCGTTCCCGTAGTGACCGCTCCTAAGTTCAACATTGTGATGCTGGAGTCATAGTTATTTAGCCACCGGACCTTGGTAGCTATTTCACAAATGTCAACGTTAGAGCAACCCGATGCCCCTAATGTCTTGAAACCACGACGCCGATAGAGAGCAACCGTTTTCTGATTGATACATTGCTCTTCCAACAAGAAGGTGCATGCATCGCTGCTTCAACCATTTCCGTTTACACCGAAACTAGACGTTCATCTTCGGGGAAGGTAGGAGACGGTTGTTTCAGACAAATCGCCTGGGATTGGCAAACAATGGCAAGCATATCTGCTCAAGAGAGAGGCCGACCGACCCACTCACTTTGCAACCCGAGGCATGTCGTCTGTTGCAGCATTGTATATATTGGTCTGCTCTTCGAGCTAAGTCTTGCATGGAAGCTACTCCCTTTCTGCACCTGCCCCAAACTCCCAAATGGATCCTCCAGCTTGAAGTCCGAGGTGGTGTTGAAGAACTGGGAGTTCTGCACGATTCGAAGGTCACTGGAATGGCTCGGCGTGCGGCAGGAATGTGTGGATAACTCCATACAGCGGAGATGGGGAATGGTTCATCTGCTGCCTGGCACACCAACACAAGTTGCACGTTTCACATGCTATCCAGCCTGGCATTCCATTCATGCCTTAAAAGCAGGCTGTCACACCAACTCCCTGTCAGCTCTATGCTCCTGCCTCCAGCTGTGGAAAGCGGCATAGCACCAGCACCTGCGAACAGGTTCCAATATGCAACCTTTTTACAGTTGACAACCGATGCTGCTGACTCCCCCATGCCGCTTGAATTGGCATCTGGACTTGGGAACAGCTGTGGAGATCTAAAGTCTTGAATTGCCCTGCGCCCGTGCCAAAAGCCAAGGATCTATGAATACCGAAAATGACACATGTCAATTGAGTCAGCACATACTACGTACTGGATCTCACAGCACGTTGCAAATCGACTAAGATACCAATGGAAACCCTTTGGATTCCATCGTCGGCAACCATCTGATCTTACCACAGGGCAACACATGTCGTTTGACGAGTTTGGGACGTGAATTTCAAAAGTATAGTTCAAATACATTTAGCCTGGACTTCATAAGGCCTCACAATGTGGTCGAGGTAGCTAGACTATATTTGGCTAAAGGCCATAGTTTGCGCGTGGCCGTAAATACTCCAGAAATTACATGTTTGTTGCCTGGGAAGCTTGCATGCCGATTATACACTCAACTTTCGCTCCTGCAAGGCGCTATAGTATCATAACATTAGGCAGCATGGCCAGAACATAGCTCGCTTAATCTACCAGCCAAGAACATGTCAATTATCCTTGTGGCTTTGTCGTTGTAGTGTCAAGAGACTGTTCAGATACCCTTTCAGGTAGGTATTACCTACTTATGAACCTCTTGTATGGCTTTGGGGGTACCTCATAGGAGGCCTGTCTGAATACGAGAACAAATCCTCTAGTCAAAGCGTCACGGTGAGATCTGAAAACAACGACTGGCTGTCTTCTGATCTTGGGCAACGAGCTATGGAGTATGAAAACAAATCAAAACAACACATTATTTGAACGAGTTCCGTGGCTTGCATTGAGATCTGTAGTTGACACGTCATACACAACTGTCACAATTGTGCAGTTGATATGACGAGATCCAGTCTACATCAGCAGTTGCAACATGCTGACACGCTCTCACAAACACCCTCATCAGCAAAAGTGTCCAAGGGTCATTCGAGTGCCGAGATAATCACAGGATGATAGGCTTGACCTTTTCTCATTCCCAGCTGTCAACAACCCATTATCCGACGTCCTTATCGAGATGACACAGCTGACCGTCTGGTCTAAGTATTGACAGTATGGACCTGAAGAGAAAGCAGCATTCCGTGTGTATTACCTACCTTTGGGCAAGAACCTCTCTCATCTGGCCTCGTTCCCTGCAGACCCGTCTGCCCAGCCAGCCATGAGCGGCTGGCTAAAGGAGGACACGGAGCTCAAACAGCGGCAAAAACCCGCTGCAACCAACGCCTTCAAGAAGTTCTTGGAAGCCTTAAATCGATTTGGCAGCTCCCCTTTGTTTTCAAGCGTATGTGGTACACGGTGCTTCTCGAAAGGCTGAACTGGCCGCTTCAGCATGGACCAATCCAAGGCTGCAAAGTAATGATGACATGAATACTCACCAGTAGGGACAACTTTACATTCTGATCTGTGCCTGCAAGTAACATCGCTTGTCTTGATTACAATCTGCGTGCTAAGCTGCTAGGCATTGAACAAACCAAAGTGGGTCCAACCCTCATGTACTCTTGAGCAGCTGCCACCTCACAGAATTGTGCTCAAATGAATCATACGCCTCTGACTCCCGCCTCTTTGACTGACGTAATTTGTGGAGTCGCTGAGGTGCTGCTATGTTCAACGAAATCTCCTCAAAAACATTGCTATTTGTCTTATCTAAAACATGGCGGGACTGCGCTCTATGCTGTGTGCCGCCAAGTTTCTGGTCAAGAATGCCCCGCTGTACTCTCGCTTTTACAATCATCCCTACCCAAAGCCACATTCCTTTCTGGGCTCACGGCGTTGGCGTCTTACATGGCTCAAAAGCCCCAGCGTGCGAACTGTGCCATGGGACGTCAACGCCTGCAAGCGCTACAATGCGGCAAGCTCAACTGAATCCAAGGCAGGCAGGGGTTTGGCAAAATTGGCAAGGAAAGGAGCGGCGCAAGGTCAAATAATTTCAACAACATAAATTTGTTTTTGGGTCAGCTTTTCAAAATCATAATTGCACAAGCAGTTCAGCCAAGCAATGCAAAAGAGTGCTAAAAGGAAAGAGATACAGCAGCGTGTTTGCTGCCTGGAAAACGTTGGAAATGTTGCCTCTAGCAAAGCATAAGCTGCGGCTCTTTACACGAATACCTGTCCAACAAGTCTTTTTGTTCAGAAATCATAATGCCCTAACTTCACACACTTGAAGTTATTCCTGCCAGGGATTGGTGTGACCCGTGTGACCCCAGCATTGGCCTTAATTCAGAGGCCCCTTTGGATAAAACTATGTCGAGTGGACTTTGGAACTTAGCCATAGTGGAGAGCTCGCGAGGTACTACTGGAATTGTAAATCAAATAGATCGTTACTCTTGTCTTGAGTCAGAAAAACCAAACCAGCAAGACTTGGCAATACCAAGCAGGTTGTAAAGGAGCGCCGCTAGCAGCCAGCTCCAGCAATCCTACGCCACTTTGAAGCGATGTTAAAGCAATGCTACATCACGTGGAGTGCCAAACTTGGTGCTAGCAAGATGCTCCCATCGTACCGCAGGACCATGGCATTGATAGGAATTTCAATTTTAGTCAGGCGAGAAAACCTGAAAGCACCGCTAAATCAAACAAGTTGGTTAGGAAAACATCGTAGTGCGCGGCTCCATTTGTTAAATGGCCGGATCTTTTTCATCATAGTTTGAAACCGTCGCGTAGAGACGCCGGAACAAAAAACACAAGCTTCTTTATGGCAAACACGCACGCCCGAGAAGAATTCCAAGCAGAATGACGCTAGGTAAGTCACAGTGCAGCGCTTCCACGAATTCCTTTTCCCCCGAGACCGCGTGAGTGGGAAAATCCAAAACTTGAGGGCAGGCACAGCTGCGAACACAGCCTCAAGGTTGTGTCAGCTTCCTGCCGACCCTCATCGGATTAAGGGAATTCTCACACCCCCTTTCCGAACACGTCCGTGTTACCGTGAATCCCGGTCTCGTAGAAATCCGAGTTAAAAGGCCCTCAGTAGACGGGGTCCCGAGGGATCAACTTGTCAGTCCATTCGGCGAAGGTCCCCGACGGTGGTGATCCTTTCGCAGGAGGGCCTCGTGAGTGGGTGGGTAAGACGGAAGCCGACTTGGCCTAGTTGAAATGGCTCAACGGTCCGAGCAAACCGGAAGTTTGAAAGACGCAGATCCGAGGTTCACCGGGCAACCCGCGAGAGGCTGTTGCTACGGAACTGGCACGTTGTTGGTCAAAGCCCTCTGCTGCAGCCCACGCAACCCCAAATTCAAATTCCACAATCCGCAAACCTCATACTCTGCTCCGTACACCGCGCAAGCCGCAAACCGCTAAGCGTTGGGGATTAGGTTTTGCGCAAAAACTAGAAAACGGGTACAGTTCGGCGTATATGTTTCGGGGGTATGTTTCGGGGAATGTTTCGGGGGTATGCGCCGCCGTCGAACTTCCTGCCTTGACAAAACTGGACACACGCCAAAAGAATACATCATCATAAAGTTGTTGACGATCTGACCGTAAATGCGGGTCTTTGCGAAATTTGACGATTTGTCGAAATTTGTCAAAGTTTGCCAAATTTTGTCAAACTGTGTCGTTTTTGCTGCGGAGATGAAATTGATGACGATCTGACCGTGATCTGACCGTACTTCTGCGGAAGCTAAAATTGATGACGATCTGACCGTAATTCTGCGGAGACTCAAATTTTATACAATCTGACCGTAATTTACTCGGACGTGATAAAAACATGATGACTATCTGACCGTACTTCTTCGGAGACTGAAACTGATACAACCTGACTGCGGAGACTAAAATTGAATACGATCTGACCGTCATTCTGCGGAGACTAAAATTAATGATTCTGACCGTAATTCTGCGGAGACTGAAATTGATGACGATCTGACCGAAATTGTGCGGAGACAAAATTGATTGACGATCTGACCGAAACTCTGCGGAGCCTGAAGTGTGTCGGGGTCGACAATCGGGTCGTTGGTCGGAACTTCTGATGGGAGTTGTTCACGATCTTCACCCTGCCAGTCCTCGGGAGCTCCTTCATGCAAAGAAGCCTGGGACTCACCATCTCATGCGGGATCTGGTGCATGTGGACATAGACCCACACACCATCCTGAGAGGCGGTCCGTGTGGGCTGTTCGGCCCATCGCGCCACAAGCATCTCCGAGAGGGCGCCGAACCAAAAGGTGCTGGTCTGTGGCCTCGGGGCTCGGGTGCAGCGTGACTCCTCGGGGTCCAGTTAAGTGCTGCGAATCGAGGTCCTCCTCCTCGAGCATCGAGAAGGTCACACCAGCACACAGGCTTCGAGACAGGCTGCGGTGCCAACTGATCAAAACCAGGGCTGAAGCAGAGGCGGCGCTCAAGGCTTTTGCTCCATGGCGATTGCGCTGCATGCGCAAATGATTATGCGACTCAAGAGGGCGCGACAAGTGGTGTCCAAGCCGAAAAGGCGTGCATATGTATGCTGTCGGTCAACTGCATGGGCTGCACTGATGAGGCCTTAGGCAAATGCCAGGCCGAAATTCACACCTCTTGTGTAATTCACCCCTTTAAATTTCGCCCACCATTTGGTCCCGCATTGTGCTCACTGTGACTTTTTGCTTGTTGTTCGCTGTTGACACTCGTCTGTTCGATGGATTGTCACGATTGTGATAATTGGCTACCTACTAGTGGATAGGCTTTTTGGGATTGGTGGTATTGTGTTGAATTCTTTTTTGGGGTCGGTAATCATGGACTTGGGTGTGTGTGAGAGAATTGCGTATGTGTTGCGCGCTACGTGTGTTTCACTGTTACTGCTACGGTTGTAATCTTGCTGTACTTGGGATTGTCTTCTGTAGCGGCCGTGCTGGATCGCGTTCTTCTTGTAACATCTTGTAACGCTGCCTTTGTATGTTTTGCGGTGTTCCTTCCAATTTTAGTCTTGCGGGGGAGCACCAGTAAAGCACAGAACGGGACGCTCGGCGGGCCCTTTTTTTGCTCAACTGTTTTATCTTTCTGGAAAAAAAACAAAACCAAACGCTATAAAACACTGACAAAGCAGGGCGGGACGCCCGGACTCTAAG